AAGCGAATATATTCCACTTCGTTGATTCCCATCGCTCAGTTTAAGTACACAACCGAGTTTCAACCTGCTGGTTTGGGCCCAGCTGAGGTGAACTGACGTCTGTGTAATTCGTACTGAAAGACAGTAGGTGGTGCCCCAATAGCGTGCTATCACACCTAGTTCAGCCGGATAAACATGCAAGAATTTGACGCAAAAGCATGGGAATGAAATAACTGACCACATGAACAAACCGTAACTGTAATAAAATCGGGTAGTTTCCACACGATCACCGTTAGTAGTAGTATCTACTGTCTTGAGCCGGTTCATTTCGGTGCGACTTTTGACAAAGTGATGCAGAATTATCACAGGTCCACCAAGTATGTAATACATTTTGCGACCTGCCAGATAAGTCAATTACCTACACTGAACATCTCCATGACCAGTGCACACTTGACTTATACTTACAGATTCCGCTTATCCGTAGCAAGAGATAGCGAAGTAAATTTGTGCATGCCATCTAAAACCCCAAAATACTTATATGTTTGTATCGCAAGTACACTTGCTCCAGCGCAGCCGTTATGTAGTCGAAAACATGTGAAGTTAAAGAATCTAAGTGCGATATAGAGGCAAATCTTGGTAGCTCGGGTTGTTCAGTTACTGGTCGAAGTGTTGACTGAGCCCGACAGTTTTGCTGCAAATGCCTCATCACCACTCGAGGTGATAGCACCAGTTCCCTGGTTTGTAGCGGAGCGGTGGCAGTGAAGCGTTATTGAGGGAGAGTGATCGTTCCTTTGGGCGGACTGGCTGTCACTCTGAGTTTGAACTGCTCGACGGGCAGTGTATTCGTTTGCACTGGTGTAGGACTGAAGGACAACGATCCTAATTCCTAAGCTTTTTATTTCTGACCCACGTATTCATGATTCTGGTGTTCCCTTTTTGCCCCAAAAGATCGCAAGGAGCTAAGCAACCTGCGTCGTGTTACTGTCTGAAAGACGTCCGACAATTTCGCAAGCAAGTGCTGCTTAAGTGAAATATAAAGTCAATTACTACATTTCCCAAAGAAGTTGCGTCCTTCTGTGAATTGGATATTTTGTTTACAAACGTATCGTCACCAGGCTAGGTAAAGTAGGATTATCCAGTTCGGAGAAACAGCTCAGCGTTATTATTGTATATCTAGGCAAATTCGTGTATTTTGCTACAACCTTAACAGAAAGATGATGCAGTGTGCATCACACAAGTTCCAATGCACCGTTTCAGTTGTTGATTTCTCTGAATGTGTTCATAATATGTCATCGTTCTTCCTCAACCGACTGCAGGCCGAGACGTTATCCCCTGGATTGGAATTCTGGACACAATCTAGTCAGATTCACAATGCATTACTTGATACCAGCTTTGATAATCTCTACAGTCAACTGGCACCGTTGATTACAACACCCCACCAATGAGGCTTGGTTAAACGATAAATTAACTTATATACCCCATTGTTTTTTCAGAGAGCAGATAGTGGACATGTCTCACTGGAGAGCATTATAAGGCACCGCATGAAGTAGCAAACAATGAAAATATTGCTATATTGTAGGCTAACAAAAGCTCCTGCGTGGTAAGCATAGACGGGCCAGACTATTTACATAGGATGGATACAATCTTGTCTGATAGCACAAACTTCAAGCCTGATACGAAGTTTGACACCACTGTCCGTTTAGTCGAGAAACAGTTGTGTTGCAAATTGCAAATAGTAGGACTTCATTGATGTATCTCCGGCGACGAATACATGGCGTTAAAACCCGTGGGTAATTATACTCTACAAATGTATAGTCTGCCTAAATTGCGTAAAGCAGGAATGCCCATGGGACCAAGTATCTCCATGGTAGCTTCACTGTGGCACGCCAATGCCAAACAACTGAACCGCATGGTTGAGCCCGTCATAAAATTTATGGCAAAGCATACTTCATCACATTGAAGTTGACAGCTAGAGCTTTTGTAGGTCAACGAAATATCTTGGAATTACAATGAGCCACAATTTGCTGCGGTCACTTCACTTGAATAAACTAGTCACTAGTCGTGCGATGTGTGTGTGTCGCATCGCTCCAATGAAATCGTCCAACGTGACATGCAGTTTGATGCTGAAGTTCATCACTGCATGCATTTTACGACACCGGAGTTATTTTGCGCTTTTCTTTGATTTCTCCTGGCCTACTGTGTAAACATTTCAAGCTGCTTGGCAGATCAATGAAGTACTTGCTTCGCCTCCGTGGTATTGCAAAGCCAACTTTGGAAAAAACAATTGTAGCAACGCACGTTGATTCACGCACTAAACATGCTTGAAAAATAAACACTGAGAGGATTCAAGCTGTTCACACTGCACTTTGCAATCTTATGTCAACCTCGTTGACCAGACAAAAGTATAACGCAATATATGCCCGAAAGAATACCTATGGTCACCGGTCATTCCCCATTTAGCCAGCTTTCTACTCGACCAAAACGCCAGTATTCAAGAATTGGCTGTTAACTTCCGCAAGTGAGTTTATTTTTTCACTGAGCATTTTCTTTTGTTGCTGTTCTTTCGCATCTGAATTGCTTTTTTGTCATGTGGATAGAATGTGTACAAAAGGTGAAAATTCACCCGTCACGGGAGCGTGAAATGTATTATTGACTTGAGTTGGACTCCGTTCATATTTGGAACTTGTTAATCTAACGAGAAAGCGAATGTGCTCCCTTGCTGTCTGTCTCGCTTCTCCAACATCCATATGAACGAGACTACTAAATATGCTAGTTTATCTCAAAACATGACGTTCGACTTCGGCTTCCCACAGAATTACTGAAGTACGTGCTTCATTTGTGAATGCAAAACATCAACTTTTGTGTTCCAGGCTAAGTAGATAGACAGATAGTGTGGCGATGGGTAGCCCACTAGGTCCACTGTTGCTAGGTATATTCATGGGTATGATTGAAGAAAAGCCATATGATATCATAAGATCGACGGCTCTGCATAAGCGTTAGTAGATATCGAGCATGCGACTGGGACGCTCAACAAAATATACCCGAGCAGTACAGTGAAGTGTAATAATGATGTGCTGAGTACTCGGCGGCCATAAGGCCTGCCTATAGAAAGTCAACCTAAACTGGTCAGTATCTGTCTTTTACCAGTTGCTCCCCTATTCAAGACAATCGCTTCCTCGTCGGACCCATGCGAACTGAACACCACAGAAACTGAACGAGGTTTGCTTTTCGATACGTTACAATCCAGCGGTTACCCGCTACAGTTTGTTAAGCGTTTCAGCAAAACAACCAAGCCAGAACGGGGGCCAACAGTCCCCAAGAAGCCGGTCTTCATGGCGATACTCTTCAAAGGTGACCGAGTTATGAAGTTCGACGAAAAACAAATAAGTGCTCCAATGAAAAGAGCACACAATGCGGTGGAAATGCGGCTGCTCGATTATGACATCGACCACGAGCCAGTGCGTCTCCCACGGTCTACACATATTCATCTGCAGCTATGAAGACAGCTAAGTTAAACGACCTGACTGCAGTCTAGATGTCAGAATCAATGAACACATCCCCAGTTGGTTATGCAGCCGGATGGGGTCGGTGACGGCTTACTCAGTAGAATCGGAAGACCGAGTTGTTTTGACAGTTACAAGGCACTGTTTACCACCAGGCGCCGAGAGAATCCTGAGGAGTCGTTCTCAGTCCTAGCGCAAGATCGGCGGTCCCTGTTGCTTAGGCTACCAGAGGCTCTCGTTATTGACCGCGAACGCTTACCGCTGTGCACTCGGAAATAATTGTCTGTGACTCTAAGTCTATCTTCATAGCACAAACGCCTGGCTACTGGTTTGTTTGCCTTTCACTGTGATTGAAAAAAAATAAAATTTATGCTTTTTGACTAACCAATCGAGTGATATTTAGGTAGGCAGATCCACCGGTGGGAGACCTAGGTGGCTATGTAGTCGCCTGTTCCATGACAGATACCCTTTTCATTTTCGGCGCTTCAAAAACCCGAAAACGGATATGAGTAACATCACAATTCTACGGTGTCCGAAGGGTAGGTATTCTTTTAACACTTATAAGCTAGGCAATCGAACAGGGGACAAAGACACTAGAAAGTAAACGACGAAGCCTTTAAATTGGCCGTTGTCTTTTCATTGAACATCATTCTTTGTTTATGTAGTTTGGATATAATAGATTTTATAGGAATACTTTGACAGCTATTTCTGTCCAAAGCACTTCCAATGTCAACAAGACATTTGTTGCATATTAAGCCCAGGTACCGTGCACTAATCGCGGTCTGTTGATTTTGGTCACGTAATTTTCGGCCGTTTGAAACCAATTTCTTCTTAAAGAAAGGTCCTTCAAAGGTACACTCTGTTGGTTGGTAAAAAAGCACCATGATTCTGTTTATCAATATGCACTCAGTGCTCAAGAACGCGCGTGCTTTTACTCGAGCGACACAAATGCACCCTTCTCCCTTCCCTGCATCTATTTATAAAAGTTTGCATTTGTCAAAATATCATTTTAGTTAACCCCCAGTTCAAACTGTAAACTGCGGAAAATGAGCCCATCCAGGTACCTAAAACTTACCTTGACTTGACTGAATGCGTGAAGCACACCACCACTACCACATGTCAAAACATGCCGTAGCTGTGGTAAAACGCGACGACGTCACATCAAGGACAGTAGCGCGGTGCATAAACAATTTTAAACCTATGACAGATGCCATGAGATGTTGATGAGTGCACGGGTGCATAGTCGCTTCACCACTGAATTGGGACATCTGGTGATGGACCAGGTGTCGTACAGTTTCTGCCTCCATGGCAACTAACGACCAAATAATACATAACAAAGTTTTGTTGTGCCAACGGCGTGCAAAAGTCGTCAAACCTGTTGGCTATAATCACAGCAGCATGTAGCAGAGTGTTTAACGAAAGTGCAACATTAATTGACAGCCTCACCAACTTCAGTGCCAACATGAAATCCGTCGCGACTGTAAAACTAAGTGTGAAATCATTTGCGAGGACACTGACCCTTAGAGGTTGTGACTGCGAATCTGTCCCAAGTGGGCGCATCCGTATAAGGTTCATGCACCATTGGGGATAGAATGCCAGGGATAGGTTTGGAGCCCCAATATCTCCAATCCGGTGTCCGCTTTGCATCCATCTTACTAACATTCCGTTTGGGCTTTGGGTATCGGATTGTCATTCGCCCGAACTCCAATTCGGCATCAACTGTAGTAGATTGGTCTACCAAATGCCGGCAAATCGCTTCCGCTAAAAGAGAAGTAGACGTCAAATGGACAAAGTTATATTTATCGAATTCGAAAACTCTTCGTCAAAATACGGAAAAGTGCTTTTTACCGGGTGTATTTGGCTTTCTAAGTATTTAGTTCAAAAGCCCGTTTAGAACCTGAAGAAGACGAAGTGTAGGGTCAATGTTGGACTACACGTTGTGTGATTGGATTGCGGGCAACACCCAATTTCCATTTGCCGAAGAAGACTAGTTTGGAAGCATACTGTTGCTTCTGTTTCAAGTGTCCTGTTCTACCTAGATTAAAAACCAAAATCATTTCTGATTGTGACTAAAAGTATGCACTCTGTGAGCGAATATCAGTTTCAATATTGCAAAATATAATTGTTTCCAACCTTATCTAGATTGCACGCAGTACAGATGGCACGACGGCGTCTAGGACTGTCAAGAACATGATTTCAGTTGCTATGTTCCCCGCCCTACCGTAGAAACGATTGTGAGATCGGGTAGTGAACACTTTTTAGATAACGTGGCATTTTTGAATCTTGAATCCTCTATGAGGGTGAACTACGACGCGCAATCCCATGTAGGATACTGGGTTGTATCCCACCAGCTGGCAAACAACTGAATCACTGGGATGATTTCCTCTATAAGCACAGAAGGGTTAGACACTATTCCCAGTTAGTAAGAAAGCACAGAGAGGGGTAGATTCCGCTTTTGCCAACCGCTTTGTTTGCACCGCAACCCAGCACTTCGTTCGTTGTTTTTATGACTGTGGTGAGATGAATCAGCCGGGAAGAGAAAGCTATGTGCCGCTTCATTCTGTGGTCACATAGACCACACAGGCAGATCTGGTTTTCCCTAATAAAGGGACTGGCAAGCCGTCCACATGTGGCCAGCAAACTTCAAACCGTACGCAGCGACACAGGAATGGAATTCGCAAATCTAAAGTATGTGCGAGTTGCAACTTCCAGAGAAGCACACATGTTGCTTTTCAATTCATTTCGGGAAACATTCTGATACATTTTGCCAAGGGTGCCACCCTAAACGGTAGCGTAGTCGCACATAGTGTGTCAGGCATCCTTAGTCCGAAGTTGGATGGAATTTGGTTTACCTCATCAGCAAAAGCTTTGAGTTCGAAATAGATAAACATCAACTGGAGACCGAGTATACATCAACCAATGCCTAGTTATCCCCTTATTCTACCACATTTGGTCAAATATCCATTGGGAAGTTTTCTTTAAGACACGTCGAAAAGTGGTGTGGAATGTGATGAGCCGGCGGTACAGTATAGGGTACAATTGGCACAGTTGAACCATTAAGTTCGTCTACCATTGGGGCAATTAGCGGCCGATACATAACAAGGACAATGAGAAAAATAATCCACATATTTGTGAGTCTTCATTGGTGGTGTAAAACCAGCACAAGCCCAAATGTCAGGCTTTGTCATCACTTAGAAAACATAATTGTAAGTAAGTTCCCATACTGAGATTGATGTTGCACACACCATGCTCCTTCACCGCAGTTGGGCCTTATTCCTCTGCTTTGGTCAGTACCGTCTCTCCCGCACATTCAGTGGCATTTCGCACGTACGACTACGATCTCGTTCTCATGCCTAGCAGCGAAGCCGTCATAGTCCAACGCAGTGATATACTTGATCTGGACTCATTGACACGGAACCATGCGACGATTGACAATCTTATATCAATACAACGGGGCTCCACTCACTAATCAATGTGTCGCGACGGAAGGAGCAACAGGCTGCGCCACGGAAAGGGGAAATGAAAGAACGACGGTTGATGAGCCAGATGAATACGGGTACCCTACAAGTTTGTCAGTATATCGTCTCTAGTTTGGTACGTACTATAGCGCTTGCGTGTTCTAATCACTTGATGAATATGATTGTCACTCTTGCCTCTAATCCCAACTCATGCAAGCTCGTATTATTACTGTGGTTCCATTTGTGGCAGCATGTGGTAGTTCATACCCAAGCGTGAACAAATACATGTGTGTATACGTGATTATAGAGCATTCGCATCGCCATTGTGTATTTGCCGAGATCGATGCTGATAAAGCATATGATGTGTTTCGTCGTCTCGGTCATGCTAAACTCGAATGAAAATGTCTGTCTGTCCGCCCGTCTCTATGTGGGATATGCGCTCGATGAATTAAACCTCCCGTATGATCGGCAATGCCTAGCTGCGCTTGTTGTGAATGTTGACAAGGTGTCCACCAGTCTAACTGTCGTCACCTCGATTATGCGGACTTTGTGAAACTGTTTGTAGTTGCTGGGTGGCGGGGTGCATGGTCCTCGGTAAGGTGCTAGGCTGAAAGAGTAGTTCCGTCCAGTGTGGAGCGCGCTACGGCTCAGCCACCGGCTTGTGTGCATCTGGTACACATGGTCTTTTAAATACATAGGAATGCTGCGATGTGCATGTTGAAGGAGTGTGCGCCGGCCCCGTTGATGAAACGTGGCTCCCATCCACCTGCTTCCAAGTCCTATTCCTTCGGGTTTACACTGGACGTGGTGTGTGTGGTTGGAGCTGTGGGTGGTGCAGCGCAAGCCAGCCATGGAGACAACAGTGACTGGCCAATCCTGACAATGGTGAGGCCAATCCAATTGAAAGTAAGCTGAACATCAAGCACTGTACCCGTTTGACAGCGATAAAACATAACTGAAAGAGTAATCTGTGGTAGTAAGATGAGATATAGGATGTCGGAAAATAAGGCGATTTCTAGAATATACAGGCACCCACTGGTAATCTGTAGAAGAGTTGGTGTAGATAGATTGTATCCGTTTACGCGCGGAATGATAGGTAATGCATGAAATATTTAACATTACGATTTAATGTCAGCAAGAATTCCGAGCCTTTGCAAACGCTTTGAGACAGTCAAGATACAAATAAGAAAATCAACAATGAACAAGGCGCTAGAATGGCAGGTATTTGGTCAGCTAAACGCTCAGTTCGCGTAAGAACGAATATAGTGGTATATCAGAAAGAAAGCAAGATATATATATATATATATATATATATATATATATATATATATATATATATATATATATATATATAAACGTGACCGTTGTGGCCCTCATGTGATCCCCACTTCAACATGCCCGGAATATGCCACATTAGAATGACGATCACCCGATGCGCCTTCACGTCGTCAGCTAAATAAGGTGGCTGGGTCGCGTCACGAGCTTAGGTCAGCAGAAGCCTATACTCGTAGTGTAGATTAACCAAATTGACTATAATCATCTCTAATTTACCTCAGCGTCTAGCATGAAGGAAGTGCAAAAATACAAATTACTAGGTCGGTTTGAAAGCCGGCGTATGTATCCGAGAAAAGGGTAGTCAGACCAAATTCAGCTACTGATTTTATTGAACAAGAAGCAACTGTACCGCCCATATAAACATTAAGGTGACTTACTCTACATGTAAGCCTCATTAACGTTCTTCGAAAACTGCAGTTGGAACAGTATTTGAAAATGCGGAGTTTAAACGATCTACCTATTCAGTTATACCAACTTAACGGGCGCGTTTCGGGTTACCTCAAATTAAATTTCAAGTCAGCAGTGTTGCGTGCTGTAATCCAAATTCACAAGGACCAAACAGGCCGGGTTGGCAGCAGCTGAATCGACAACTGACATCGGTGATGTATGACCACTTCATGCTTGTTTCCTCAGCTGGATTTACCGTTCATTCCGTTGCACTTATCTCGTGCTACGCACTGCGGATACGGTTGGTCCATGGACAAGACAACTGGTGGGCGTTGGCTCACATTTCAGCGTGTATACCGAAAGTATGCATCAGTAATCGTGATCACCCCTAAGATGGTTGTGAACGGAGTAGGTCACACAAACCCCATTGTTTAGGTGATAGAGAAAACAGGTGTGGATAGTTCGAAACAAATTCATCGACGTGTCCCCACTAGACAACCACCAGCAAGAGCGTTTCGCTCATTGGGGTGCTATACATCTGTTATTTAAAACAATAGACTGGCAATGAATGTAACAAAGAAATTAATAGTTAGCTCGATCAAGTCAGTAAGGGGTAGAACGAAGTAAGAGGGGTTGCGTCGCATCATACCACGATAATACACCGCATCGATCCTCAAAGGCTTGGCGGCTCTCTATAAGAGATATGCTGCCTGTCTGCGCCTGCAAAAGGATATCGAGCCTCGCTCTAAATAGGAGCCCTGGAAGCAAAACCGATTGTTCATTGTTTTCACATATGACTACCAGGGTACTAACGACTACTTTATATTATGAACGGAAGTGCTCAGCAAAGCCATATTGTTCACGTTGATGCTAGTACCTTCACGAAGATAGTCGCCGCGTAAAAATGCAGGATGGCGTATTTATTTCCACTGGATAGAAAGGGTGAGACACACATGTAAGATTAAGACTTCAAACCTACGCGCTTGATTTTCGAATGCATTTTTCCAAAGACCAGCCTTCTGTAGATATAAATAACTGTACCCTGTCTAATGTCTCTGCGAAAAGGTTCTATCAGAAGTATCAACATTTGCATCCCGCAACATCTGGTTCAAAGTGAACACGAAGTTCCGACCAATGATGCATGCAGTCTTCTATGCTGTGCCGAAAACAATGAACGATGAACAATGAATTTATACGGGTTAAGAAGCGTTGCTTTACAAGTCCCGTTGGATAGTTGCAGGGGATATCAACATAACAATAATGATGATAAGGATAGTAAAATAGTTAATAATTTAAATATGAAAATGGGGACTTATCGTTTGCTTTGCTGAAGTCCTGCTATCCTCTTAGATTCACAGCACCCACAGTTAACAACAAATAATTCCATGGTATACTCCAGGTGTAGGATGGAGACGTAGTGTTAAGTGACAAGGTGTAAGTGGATGAGTGCATCGTCCAACCGTTTTTTAAGTACTGTTAGTGTCGGTGCAGAGACGACTGATTCTGGGAGAGCATTCCACGGGTAACAGACACGAATGGAAAGGAAATTTCTGCGGCACTCCAAACGACTGTATTGTTCTG